TGGGGAGGGGGTTGTAGGGGGGGTTTGTGGTGCTAGGGGGGAGGGGGAAGGATGGTGGTGGTTTTGGGGGGAAGGTGGTGGATGGGATCGCGTGGGGTTATGAAGAATATTTTAGGAGAATTTTCTCTAGCGCTTTGACTCCCTTTTTTATTTGTGAATTCCATTAGATTCCGAATCATGAGAATAAAGGTATAGCTTTAGATACCGCCTTTATTATGCTTAGGCTATGTCTCTGCCGATTGGTACGATTGGAAAAAAAGGGGAGGGGGGGTTTAATCTTCAGACTTCAACTTTTGACGTAGAACTCCCATTTCCGCTTATGCCAATATGTCGACTGGTTTGAAAAGCTTACATGGCTTTGGTTTATAAGTGACATGGTATTTTGATACCCGAGATCGATAATTCGATATTGCACGGGCAAAATGTTAAGCGAGGAAAACTCAAGTATTAGTGTCGGATGATAACAGGTACCGTTACAACATTGAGACGGAGTTTTTACGGCTTTGGGTCCCTCATCAGCAAGTCCTCATCGCCAATATATTAGCTTCATGAGATTAACAGACATCTGTCTTCCAGCTGGTTATCTCGGCTATATAAATAGAAACGCGCCGCATAATCGAGTTTCCAGAAATTGTTTTTGTTTATACGAGAAAGCATATGAAGAAGCGGCCCCAGATTAAAAAACTTGCACTTTTCTTTCCAACAAAGCCCATTGTACACCAAGGTTTAAAGCGCAAGTTTAATGTTCAGATAAAGCTAAGGTGGTATTATGTGCATTGTGAAAATGGCAATTATAATCCACAGGATGAGTGCTAGATGAAGCCGGTGGGGAAGGAATCTCTATATTTAGAGAGCGAATGCGTGAATTCGCTATCTGTTCTGTTTTGTATACAAGTTTCTTTACTTGACGTTCCGCGAGCCTGGAAAAGTTTAAGCGAGGTTATTTGGTGATCTACGGGTACGCATTATTCGATAACACCCAGTGTTTTCTTGACATAATACTACTTTGAGCTCGCTAGGATTAGTATGATATCAAACAATTGGCTACTCACAGTGTATCTCGAACAAATTTATAAGCATGGCTTGTAGTGTCAACAGGTTCTATTAGATTCTATCTTAGAGTTGCTTGATTGTATTTCGTCATTCGTGTAAAGTAATATTGGCATTGTTTTGTTAAAATTCTTGAGACAATTGATGGGATTTCCGTATGTAAGCAGGGTTTTCTTGAGAACATAATGGCAAAAGAAATCACCGGTTCTCCTCCAATGGCAATCAATTATAATAACCGTCACAATTTGGGAAGAAGTAAATAAACAGCTTGGTCGAGATGCACAAGCTGTGATACGCTAATTGTAGTTCTAATTTGGCTTGAAGTAAATGTTGGTAGTATGATTAAAAGCTATACATGGCAATTTACATCCATCCAAATATCGTTCGCCATCCTCTTGGAGTGACCTCCTTCTACGGGCAACTTCTTCCTCTTCCAGTACTAATGCGGCAACAGTCTGCACCATTCTAGAATACCAAATGTAATCAGTATATTTCTTTCAAAGTTTTTAATGCCAAATTGGAAAGACTTACGCAGCTAACACGGGCACCTCTGTTAGTCTTGAAGTTCTCACAGAAGTCCTCGCGGTAACTCTTCTTCGCACATGGAGTTTGACCGAATTGTCCATGTTGGCTCACACAGCCTTCCATGTTGTTCCAGCAGCAGTCTTGATCTTTGCCACTGCACTGTCAAGTTGTTAGGTACCTGAGTAGGACAAGGGGGAAGCATCGCAGGGGAATGATAACATACTGCGACTGCAACGTAAGCGAGTGCTATAACTGTAAGGAGGGTGCTGAAAAGTTGCATTTTGAACGATTATTCTGTATTACTTGAGGCTTGAAGTCGAGAAAGAGATACGGAGGTACAATGAAGTGCGGAAGATCGATATTGAAGTGAGACTTGCCTTGAAAATAGTGAGACTTCGTTTTGATTTAAATGATTCCAAACCACCAACCCACTGTTCACACATTGAACGAGCTCAAGTAAGTTTGCTCATTCATTCGCGATACCCAATCTCTCACACATTGTCAATCACACGATCAAGTCCCATGCCATAGTAATTCCATCTCATGGTTTATTCCGTTTGGTTCTACGGCAATACCGTAGTAAATCGACCTTATAAAAAATGCTAGGATGTGGTAGGTGGATATGTCTCACATGCTCCGAGCTAGTCAGAGTCTGCGAAGTCTGCGCGGCCCATCGGTTCTTGTATAGATTTACATTCATTTCAATGCACAGGATCTCTCCGATCGCAGTCAGATAGGAAATCGCATAGTAATCAATGTCCTGCAACCACTACGAGCCAGTCGGAATCGATGGATAATTGTGGGCATATCCACCCACCTCACCCTAGCATTTTTTATAAGGTCGATTTACTACGGTACAGCGGTCAATACTCCTTTCCCCACGACACCATGGCTCGTGAACCGATATCACGGAACCATAGTGGCTCCGTGACCTTTCTTATTTGGCTTGGGCAATTGAGATTCAAGGTCCGAGTTCTCCATCGGATTGCCTCTGCATTGTCATACCTGGGACCTGAGATGCCGATTTCCCAAGCGGAATAATCCCACCTCATGGGATATCCGAGTTGCCGGGTCGGAGGCAATGGTGCTTGTTTCAACTACAATAGAACACTTGTGGTCAAGTTCTGGCACCGCTAGAGAACTGTTATGTTTTCTAGAAAAAATTAAATTTGAGCAGTGTTAATACTTATTATTATCATAACCATTCTCGATGTTAAGTTGTAAATTTCGCATTTCGACTTCCCACATCATGGTCTCCAAATGGGTAATCTCCGCACATGCTACAATGAGGTGCATGCCCCGCGCTTCGTCCCAGTGGGCGCTCTCTTCCTCGCATTCTTACGAGAATTACGATCATCCACTCCAGACAGGAATAATTCCACTTTGAGATGAACGGGATGTTTCTTCTTTCAGCCCAATTCACGATTTTACGACTTAAATACCATACCCGCAGGGGAAAACACGACTTCACTACCTTTACCTCTACCCCTATTAGCATGCTGCTTTCTAAAAGGTTTTTTGTATATAGACAAAGGAGGTACTGTAACTCGATTCTTGTCGTCTACTAAGTAATAGTCTTAAGTTAAAGAGGAATTAACTATAGGTAGAGTTGTCTTTTAAGTCTATACGTAGTACAAAGGCAGGGAAGGGGGACTAATTAAAACTCTTATATAAATAAATCGCAATTTTAATTATATCTACCTTCGTGAGAGGATATAAAGGGTACGTATTTAGCTACTTATAAAGCTGCTTAAATCTCCCAAGTACTTTTAGAGTTGCGAATAGCTTCATTCCCCCCCCTTGCTCCCGCCTGAGTCAGGCGCTTAGAAGAAAAGCAGTACTAAAAACTAGGGTCTGAAATGCCCCTCAGGCACCTTTATCCTACATTTTATTAATTATACTAGCATTTTTACTGGTGCAGGGGCTGTACCAGGTGAGGAACAGAGTTTGGCAGGGGAAAAGGTAGTAAAGTCGTGTTGTTCCCTGCGAGCATGGTATTTAAGTCGTATAATCCCAATTCACACTCCATATTCCCCGCTACAATGACAAGACAGATCATCTGACTAACCTAGCAGAGATGCAGTTATAGTAATAGGTTCTAACCACGCTTTTTCAAACAACAGCTTAACAAGATCTCACAAACGAAGGTGATAACAATTAGTTGTTTTCAACAAGCCTTTTCGTTTTCTGTGATATTCCCAACAACCTCCACCCAGAAGAAAGTACACCCTAATCCTGAGTATCACTCAAAAGATCCGTAAACCTCATTTTAAGGTATTCCAGTGCTTGTGGAAACGTTGATCCATCTTCCATAACCACTCCATCCTTAAATCCATACCGACAAGGACGGGGTATTTCATAGAATGTGTGACCTTTGCAGAACTCCATTTCACCATCACTTTCCTTCCAATTGTGGTAGCAGTTGACACACAGGTCACAATCAACACAATCTAATCATACGAAACGTGAACCTCTGATAACGGGGTCTTGCCTTCCGAAAGAAGACACGCAAATGTTGCAATGGCACAAATGATCTATAGTTCCTCCATGAACCAGAGTCTGCTCTGCCATCATTGATCCGTAGACGATGAATTCCGTTCCGTCGTGGAATAGATATTTGGATAGCGCAGAGTACAATTTTGAATCGTTCAAGCAGATTAATATTTTGGAGTAGAGCCTACTGACATCGAACACGTCGACCGAATTTTCTCTTGCGGATTCAAGGAACTGGCTAAATGGCTGGAGGGTTCGCATTATTTGCGTGTCATTCCTAGCCCAGTAGTGCTATAAACAGTAAGCATCAAAGTATATAGACCTGTCAGAATTTGGAAATAATATTTACAATTGTACGTCCATAGTTGTCTATCAGATTTGTATCTATATTCCTCTCGAATAAAAGGTACCTCGTCATCTCGGAACTTCTAAGTGCTGCCATCTTGAGAACTGTGTCTACTCTATTTTGATTAGTCCGGATGTTAATATCTGCCCCATTGTCGACCAGAAGGCGTGTAGCAACCGAATTATTATAGTACACAGCCCGCAACAAAGGATTTCCATAGCATTCTACCGGAGACCCAATGCCATCTATCAAGGCGCCTTGTCGTAGCAGAAATCGTAAAGCGTGCTCGAAGTTGAAGGCTGCTGCTATACACAATGGATTGACAGATGCCCAATCGGTCATGTATTCGATATTTGGAGTGTCCATTGGATCCTCCCAAGTACTTTGCCACCCAAAAAAGAAAGCCCCAACTTTCCCAACTACTTCCAGGACAAATAGGTCCTCAAAAGTCCCCTTGGTTCTAGAGATTTGCCCATTCCAAAAGTACATCAAGGAACACCGGATTGCTCTTTGCACTAAGCGCACGGTAGGGAAATTTGATTTGTTCTCAATGGAATATTGCAGGCGGTCAATAAGTGATATCCAACCATTACCCTTAGTTTCCTCGGCGAACAAATGGGTTTTCATCCATCGGTTCATTGCAGGGAAGTCCTTGAACCGTTCTATATCCGCTTCTTTCAAAAAAGCGAGTAATGGAAATTCTTCTTCATCGAGCGTGTCATTATGCATCTCTTTCATTCTGAACCCAATAGACACAGCATAGCTCAGAAGGCACCTTGAAACATGGCGCTAGCTATCCATTGAATCTAGGGCAAATCTCGATATCCTCTGTTCTTTTCCCGACAACTCCCTTGAAAGCAGGTACTCTCTGACTGAATAATGTGCGAGGACGATAGTTTGATTATTCTCAACGCGTATCAAACTACCACATAGCTGAAACAGGTCATTTGGTTCCAAGAGACGCTCAGAATCATCTAAATGATCCTTCATGGGGTTGAGGGCAATTGCTTCGGCGAGTTCCCTTAATGAAAGAGGTCTTTCAGACCCCATCATCCAAAGTAGTATTCTGCGAACATAATCGCAATCCTCATCGGTAATTGAATTCAAAATCCGGTCATACGTCTCATCCAGACCTTTTGGCAAAACATTAAGAGCCCGTTTGAGTGCGAGGCGTGTTCGGATATCCCGTAAGGCATGGAGTTGACAATGAACCCATCGGAACATTCCTTCAGATTGTGTAATAAGATTTTGAATCAAACTTTCTTTGTCTGAGAAATGCATAAATTGAAGTTTTGGCAATTTAGAAAGTTCGGCCCTGACATGAATTTCCATGTCTCTCTCGAGGTTGTGTGGTGCAATTGAGAATGTGGAGACACTCAATAACTCATTTTTGATATCATGCTCAGGCCTGCTGGAAAGCATTATCTTGATCGACCCTTCATTGTCACATTGTTTGAGTAGCTTTTGTATTGCGTACAATAGTTGTGGACGATTTGGACATTCGTCCAATGCATCAATCATAAGATAGATCGTTTTAGATCCGGGAACAAGGATATCATGGAGAAGCTCGGTAAGAAGCTCAAAGCTCGGCGATTTCCCGGAGCATCTGTTGTACACATGTTGGATCGCTGGCAATGTGTGGTCTAAATGGGGTGCAAGCTGGCGAATGAGCGAGCCTACGATGGCACAAGGTTCTAGGCTGGGAGGATTGGCAAAGTCGCAATAGTGATAGGCAAGTCCTTCAGTAAGGCCCAAATATCTTTCTATATCATTTATGACGGCAGACCTCTTCTTTGTTAGTGAGTAAATTGCAATAGTAGTCATGAAATCACATTAGCACCGTCTTTCCTGTCCCACTTAAACCTTGGAGCCAGAAAATTGTTCCTTTCCTTTTCCAATCAAGAAATGTTTTCTCCTCCAAAAATCATTTATATGTGTCTGGATGTCTGAGTTGAGAGGTGGATAAATGCTTCGCAGTGGAGTCAAGTGGTGACAGCCAATCAAGCATTTTCTGTTCTTGTAAATCTCTCGAGTTCTTTTCCAAGCCTCGCATGATGAAACTTCCACGCCTTTGTTCATGCTTCAAATTTTGAAGAACCATCGAATTTTCAATCGAGATAGATGCGCTCAGAATCGTGAAGAGCCTCATGAGCCTATTCCGGAGCCTGGTGATCTCTTTTTGTCTAAGTGGCCAAAAGACAGTGTTGACAGCATGCTTTGTCTGACTATCATGCCCATCTTTGCAGGCACGAACGAGGGACTCAATACCATGAACGATGTCCTCGCATTCCTGGAGAGTCTGTTGTTGTGTTGAGATCTCGATTTTGGCTTGGTGGTCAATTTCTTCCACGAGAGAATGGGCCATCAACTCGGACAGAAGGGCATTTAGAGATCCTGTTTCTCTGACGAGACTTCTGAGATCTTCTGGGGCATCGGTAACAATTCTCACATAATTGTAGCCGGCTGCGAGTACCGGTGTACTTAAAGTAATGAGCCCGGCGATTCCAGAGGCAATGGACAATGGATCCATAGTACCGATACCAAATATGTGCCTCGAGGAGATGTGAGTCAGGTCTGATAAAATTGGGGGGAGGGAAGTCATTTTATCAGGTTTTTGGGTAGTCAATCTCAGACGTCTGTACTAGGTTCAATCTAGTTCTAGACAGTGTATTGCTCATCAGCATCGCGATTGCCTAAACTGAGGAGTCGAACCACTCTGTGGTAAATCGTCTCCACTAGTCTCTAAGGCATTCTGGTAGGACGACAGTAGATTGTACCAACGGTTGTATAGAGACTTTGAGTGGCTAGAAGTTTGCGGCGCAGGCTTTCTTCTCACAGTACAACATTCCGACCTAAGGACCCGTAGAATTCTGACATCTGAGTGGCCCGAGATTTAATATTGCCACCTGCCCTATCCACTGTCGTCCCACCCAAATGCCTTAGGGACGATTCATCACGGCGAGCACTGTAGCAATTGTCGTGCTACAGGGGCTATAGGACGACATTTTTCCGGCAAAAAATGGGAATTTTCTCAGCTTTCGACTGTGCCTCAATTGGGTAGCACCCAACAGCCGCGTATGTAACCTTGGCTTATCTATGCGAGTGAATAGGAGAGAGCCTGAGAGGAAGGATAAAGTCCTGACAACCGCAGCGACTCAGCTAGTGTAGACTCGGGTGTGAGAAGGTAATGTTGTTAATCTATATTGATCTTGGAGCCGAGAGCCATCTCCCACAGTGTTGGGGTGTAAAGGCTTCACGAGATTAGCTCAGCAGCCCAGGCCCTAATGGGTCCCAATACACTGACGCCCCGGCGTCAGTTTAGAGCTGACTAAGCGCGGGTTTTCACGCCCCCCCACCATCCACG